AATAATAATTAATAATAAAGCGCAAGTCCGGTCGTGTAAGGAAGAAGCTGCCCCGGCATGAAGTACCATCGCAATCTTGCAAGGACACCAAGTTTCCTTGCAGCTGCTTTGACTCTGAACTCAATGAACCACCCATAGTTGATGTTCGGAGAAAATTACACTGACGCCGATTAGTGAAGTTTCCTTGCGGTTGCTTTGACTCTGGACTCAATGAACCACCCATAGTTGATGTTCGGAGAAAATTACACTGAAGCCGATCAGTGTACTTCAAGGATACATTCCGGAAAGTAAGAGCCTGGGTGAGCGGGCTCCTTTTAGCGGTGAAAAGACACGCTTGTATTTTGAAGGCGTTGAATCTCACGAGATTAGCATCGACCCATTCGGAAACTGTCTGTAGTGTGAAATTCACACGCTCAACCATAGCTTCTCTTTCGGAATGGATTTGATCCCGACTGGCCCGAGTACTTGGTTGGTAATTGCGCTGTCGTCTGCATACCCATAGATACCGGGAATGAGCAGATCATTTATATGCAGTAGAAAGAGAGTTGCGCAGAGAACGGACCTCTGAAAAACTCCGGGGTTTGTCGCCATAGGACTGGACGAGCAGCCATCGATGACGACTCTGAGGTTTCGTTCACTCAGAATGTCCTTCACCTAGTTAATCAGACCAGGTGATAAGCCGTACGTTGAAAGCTTGCCCAATAGGCTAGCGTGCCAAACACTGTCAAAGGCCTTCGAAACATCAAAGGAAACAGCAAGTGCTTCACCAGTGTTCTCAAGGACTTCGCCCTATATGTTTTTTTTTTATTATAGAAGAGGGGGCAAACGAGATCACCTGATGGTAAGTGACTACCGCCGCCCATGAACAACCGCAACACCAGGGGAATTGCAGTTGCGTTACCGGCCTTTTAGAAAGGTAAAAGCTCTTTTCTTGAAGGTTCCTAAGTTGTATCGCTCCGGGAAAATCGCTGGTGGTAATCGATTCCACAAGGAAGTTGTGCGAGGGAGAAAACTTCTTCTAAATCGCACAGTGGTGGATCGCCAATCATCGAGATGGTATGGACGGTAACGCGAGTTTAGTCGCGATATGCGATGGTGAAATTGAGCGGCTGGAATTAATCCGAACAATTCCTCAGAGCACTCCCCGTGATAGCTGCGATAAAATACGCAAAGAGATGCAACATCTCTACGCAGTGACAGAGTATCGAGCCGATCAGAAAGAACTCGGTCGTCGACGATTCGAACAGCTCTGCGCTGGATGCGGTCAAGTGGAAGGAGTTGGCACTGGGGTGCCCCGGCCCAGAGATGAGAACAGTATTCCATGTGGGGCCAAACATGCGCATTGTAAAGTTGCAAGCGATGTGCCTGCATGAAATACAGTCTCGCTCTGCTGAGCGCGCCAAGCTTTTTAGAGGCCAATTTGGCCTTCCCTTTCAAGTGACCACGAAACTGCACACTACTCGATATGTCGACGCCAAGGATTCTGATGCTAACTGAGGTAGCAAAGGGAATGCCTTGAAACTGAGGAGATACGACAAAGGGGTTCTTTTTAGCGGTAAACGAGCAAACTTGTGTCTTCTGGAGATTGAACTGGACTAAATTTATTCGCCCCCAAACCGAGACTTTGTTAAGCAAATACTCGACTTCAGACACAAGCTTGTCCCGGTACTCGGCGACGTTTTCCCGAGAAATATTGGCACGGCCGGTATATAATGCATCACCAGTGCTGTCGTCCGCACAGCAATGAATGCTACCAGTTTGCAACATATCATTGATATGCAGGAGAAACAGCGTTGGTGATAGCACGCAGCCTTGTGGAACACCAGCGTTGATAGGCTTGAAATCAGAGCATGCACCGTCTACTACGACCTTGATGCTCCGATCAGCAAGGTAACTGGTGATACATTTGCACAATTTTTCGGGAAGCCCATAGGAAGGAAGCTTCGAAAGAAGCGCTTTGTGCCAGACCCGATCGAAGGCCTTCGCTATGTCCAAACTAACGGCCAATGCCTCACCCTTGGACTACTGCTTCCGCCCATCTATGAGTCAGATAGACTAGAAGATCACCAGCTGATCGACCACGACGAAAACCGTACTGGCGGTCACTAATCAGCTGGTGATCCTCAAGGTATCTCATGAGCTGGCAGTTTATTTTAGTTTATATATATGTATTCCATTATTTTGGAGAACAAGGAGGTGATGGCGATAGGCCTTTAGTTGGACGGGTCTGAGCGGTCGCCTTTTTTTAGAGATCGGGTGGAACAAAACTATCTTCCATGAATTCGGGACTACGCCTTGAGAGTAGGAGTACCGGAAAAGGCGCGTTAAAACCGGTGCCAACTCCGGAGCACACGTCTTCAGCACAATGGGAGGGACTCCATCGGGCCCACTCGACTTGCTGATGTCCAGGGAGAAGAGTGCTTTGCGAACAGAGCGCTGTGTAAACCGCACATCCGGCATGGAGCACTCACATCGCGGGATGGTCGGTGGAGTGTTCTCCCCGTCATCTAGAGTCAAGTTGGACGCAAAGAGAGAGCTCAACAGATCGGCTTTCTCCTTTGCGGCATGGGCCAGTGAGTCGTTCTCTCTGTGCAGAGATGGAAGAGATGGCTGACAGAAGTTCCCTTGGACAGCCTTGGCGAGAGACCAGAATACACGGGTTCCCGAAGGAAGGCGAACTAGTTTCTCGCCAATTCTGCGATGTGCTCAGACCTTGCCTTGGCAATGACGCTTTTGAAGGACCTGGAAGCGAAATTATACTTCTTTTTAAGTGCACTGGTGTTTACATCCCGAGACGTTGATTCGTCAGCCCAGGCCCGCTAGCACTCCTGCTTATAGCGTGATGCTATTTTACAGGAGCGACCAAACCATGGCTGGAATCTGCCTCCGATGGGCAGCACAGAGGATGGAATAAAAACTTCCATACCCTGAAGTACCACATCAGCAACAGAATCGGCAACAACGCTGGGATCTTCCGGCGAGAAGCAAACCCGCCCCCAAGGGTAGAATGCAAAGAAAGACCGCATCCCGTCCCAATCGGCTGACCTATAGTATCAAACACGGTGGCAAGTTGTAAATCGCAACTGCGATTGGAGCGTAAGTGGCACCGTACTCCGGATCAGATAATGGTCCGAAGAGTCTATAGGGCCAACGACGGAGACCTGATATCCGTCCGGATGAGAGGTCAGCAGAAAGTCCAACATGGAAAGTACATGGTCTTCCACATTTGGGATACGCGTAGGCGAAGTAACCAGTTGTGTTAGACCATATGCCATGGCAAAGTCATAGCCGCATGATTGGTTAAACGAGAACCAAGCCATTCAGCGTGGTGGGCGTTAAAGTCACCGAGTGTCACGATCTCTGCGGATGGGACCTGTTCTAGCACGGAGTCTGCAGCCATTTGGACGTGGTCGATGAGTAGGTCTGTGTCAACATTACCGCTATGGGACCTATAGAGGCACCCGTAGACGCGGGGATGATCGTCGCTGTCTACGCGCAGCCATAGGATGGACAGGTCCGTACCGTCAAGACTGCCGAGGCGTCGAAAACAGATGTCCTCTCTGACGTATACGCAAACTCCAGCCCGGGGCCCAAATGAAGTATCAGCCAGAGAGGACACCTGAGTCTCGGTTAAAAAGAGCAAGGCCGGCTTCGCCGTCTCTAGATGGTAATGGATAGCGTTAAGGTTGGAATGAAGTCCCCTGATGTTGCAAAAATTCACGGATAGCGTGACAGGGGTCGCCTTGGTTTATTGCTTAGCTTGCCCCGAGCAGCATTAGTTGCGAGTGGAATTTTGCCCCCTCTCCCCTCCAGAATACGCGGGGCAGCCTGAGCACCCACGCTCAGGAGTGGAGTAGTTTGGTCGTGGATGCTCAGCGAGGGATTCCCCAGGGGTGCTGTTACCCTCCTGGGGTAGTCTTTTATTTAATTCCACTACCATGTTGATGGGGGGGGGGATTGGGCCTCCGGCCACCTGCACGCACCAAACGCAACGCAGAGGTTAACCTCTACTTCACGCTGATATTCTGTGAGGTCGTGGTACCACCCCGGTTCGAGTCAGCCCATCCGTGCGACAGCAAAAGCTGCCGCTTGGCTCTACCACTGTTATTGAGTTATTGAGTGCGAAACCCGTACTGGCGGTCACTGAGGAGATCATTCTGATCTCGGTATGACATGTGGTGGGCATTCAATATACAATCCATAATCATGCAGAGTATGGATATGAAGTAAGTTTAAAATTTTGCTACTCTTTAAGAAATAACCCTGTATAAGTAAATTTGAAGATATTTATAATTAGCTAATTATAAATATTTACTGTTTTTTATATATTCATCTACAAACATTAGGTATAATGAGCACTAACTTTGAAAGGGACTATTAGTGAACGATATCTGCGAGTAGTAAGTACCCCTGTGAAGAAGCCTAACGATTTGTATTTTCTGCCGACTTCCAAAAAGGAGAGGGTACTAATTTGGCTGTGTTTTTTTTTATGTGTGTTACCTCATAACTTTTTACTGGTTGAACCGATTTCTATGGTTCTTTTTCTATTTGAAAGCTGGTACTTCACGTGTGGTCCCATATAAATTTGATCAAGGTCAGACCAATAGTTTTGAGTTTTTCTTAATAACTTATATTGAAGTCGGCAGTACAAAATTTTTAATTTTTAATTATGAAGTACATTTATAAGTATTTTTTTTTATTTTATTTTATAAACTGATTTAATATTATGGTCCCTTTACTGTCATATTTTTTCAAGTACATGCTTTTATTGCGTAATCCTTGACCCTTGTAAATCCCAGCAACAGTAATTAGCTAAATTCACGTACTTAATAATTGAGATAAATTGACTGTGTATCCTACAAGTAATTAGGGAAAGTAGGTTTTACACAAGACCAGCCTTGACAGGCAGCAGACACCCAAGGTTCAAAAATAAAACAAAAAAATGTTGATTAGTTATTATATTTTGATTATTAATCTGAGTCCAAATAATCTGAGTCGAGTTATTCAACTTCTGAAATGTTGCCTGAAGCTCCTGCGTAATTAAATTGGTCCATTTCTGACTCTTCAGATTCACTGGAACTATCATCCCTTACTGAGATGACAAGTTTGTCTATATCATTATACAGAGATCCTTCGCGGGTAAAATATTCATCATCGTCCACTATGCGCCGAATTGTGCTTTCTGAAACACCTGAAACCAATAAAGGCATGTAAATAATAAATACCTTATTCATATCTATACAAATAATGCAAAAGGATCAAAACTATTGACTGTGTAGTATTAATCTTTTAACAAATTTCATAAACTTTTTTTTTATAGTATAGGGTGAGAAACGAGCACACAGTCCACCTGATGGTAAGTGACTGCTGTGGGCTGTGGCCCATAGACATCTACATTTATCCTCGTTTGCGAATCAAAATGCAGATGCGTTACCACCCGTGAGCACTAAGATGGAATGCCTCGTTTCCAGTAAAAAGGGTCTCCGGTTCTCTACACTCACCATACGAAACACAGCAGTGTTAAGCTGTTATTTGACGCTGGTATTCTGTGAGAGCGTGGTCCTTCCCCGGTCGAGCCGACCCATTCGTGCTACAACTGTACTACTAATATAGCTGCAACATGGCTCTACCACGTAAAAAAATATTTGTAAGCAATATAATAAAACGGATAAATTATACTTAAAAACAAATGATAGGTATGAGACTACAGCTTTTTTATTGTGTTTAACATTAAAATACATGTACGTACCAGTCTTATAGTATCTTTGCTGTTCGACGGTAAACATTGTCTAAATCGGAAAGGAACTTTCCCGCTTGAAATTCGGCCATACACTCTTGAAACACTTTAAATATAACTTGTCTGGTACCGCTCTTATAAACACTGCGTTTCATTTTTGATCTCTAAAGACTAAACGGTCATAAGATGAGAAAAACTTGAAATATAACAAAAAATCTTAGAGTACATCAACTACAAAGCTATGATCACTGGGGGTGCAACTTAGAACATTATTTTACGAACAAAATGATACGTTTTATGTGCTTCCATCTACATTCCGAAGCGCTAGGCTAGACTTATTTTAATCTCACTAAAGGGCACTTATATATTATGTCTATGCATACGCAATAATCCACGCGCATTACGCACCTACGCAGTTAGTAGCGGTCACTGGTTACGCTTAAATTGTTATTAATATTTATTGAACATTTTTTATTTTTAGAAAATGCCATTTTATCTGTGTTTTCAGATAATGAAAAATTGCTAAAATACAAAAATTGCACTACGCACAAGGTTATAATAGCACAGGTGGATAATCGATTGGTCCCGAATTCTAAAGAACCCCGGATCGCGTCCAGCAGATGTGTTTATTTTTTCCCTTTTTTTTTAAGTTCCTTCTTTTGTAAGCGCCGTCTGTTATGCAAAGCACGACACTAAAGAAAATTAGATTTGAGTCGCGCATCTATCTCTAGTATATATACAGTAATCCTTTAAGCATAGAAAATAGAGGAGTTGTCCAGAGCGTCCATATGTTTTATTGGTTATACAAATATGGTTATATTCGACATTGAACTGTCAATATGCTGCCTATCTCTTTTTCACTCACCAAGTGTAAGTCTAAGTGTTATTCATAAATGAAACAGATAATAGAAATTGTTTCGTATTCTGGTAAACATTTTAGATGACATTATTTAACCCCACCTTGCGGCCGATTTCGCCATTTATTGTTTCAGATTTGCTGTTATAAAAAGTCGTTCCATATTTCTTAATTTAAAATTTTGCGAAATTTTAAAACAGTTTATAGTGAATTTTCCAATTAATTATAAAGTACGAAGATGACTAAGTGTTGTTGTAGTGTTTGCATATATATATATAAGTCACTGTCTCGAGCACACCGTGTCAGTTACACGAGAGCCTCGGGCGAGAGTGGACGTGTTTACTTAAGTGCGTGCCGAGCCTCTGTTACACTACAGTGATTAGGACAATACAAGTGGCGACGAGAAAAAAGGTAAATACCTGTTTAGTATAAAGATATCAACAAAAATAGGTTAGCAATGTGCAACTATTAGCGTTGCAATTGCAAATTGTAAACTAAATCCTAGAGTACCCGCGGAAAAAAACTTTGGATTATGAATTATGATTTATTGTTTTTAACCCTGTTATGATCATTTTAATAATTTATATAAATTATATGTTCCCATATGAGACCACGCTTATGGTGTGCAAAATTTATTTTCTTTATGTAGCAATGATAAAATAATGATTTATTTTAACATATGTCTATTAGCACAACTTTTATTTAAAAAGATTTTTGATGGAAAAATAGTAGATATAACGAATCACTCCTCTCGATTCGAACCGAAATACAATGTCGTTAGCTAAATTTTAGTGGCATTTTACATGTAGGTGTGATATTTATCGCCTTTAATGAAAATACTATTTTACTGGTTTCATGGCATATATAAGTCTTACAAAAAATCGTGGACACTTCACGACTTCTTTAAATTGCATAGTAGGTAACTAGTAATACTGTAAATGCGCATTATAGGTATTGAATTCACCCAAAGCCTAAATGGCACAGCAATGGAAGTATTATATATAAGTAATGGTATAACAAATAAACCGAAAGAGAAGGGCGAGTGTTATGGAACATATTACTATCATGAAATTGAGTTTGGGTACCAAGATACCAACCATTAAATTGGTGTTAGGTACTAAGATACCATCATTAAATTGAGTTTGGGTATTAAGATACCATCATTAAATTGAGTTTGGGTACTAAGATACCACCATTCAATTGGAGTTTAGGTACTAAGATACCAAAATTAAATTGGAGTTTGGGTACTAAGATACCACCATTAAATTGGAGTTTGGGTACTAAGGTACTACCATTAAATTGGAGTTTGGGTACTAGGGTACTACCATTAAATTGAGTTTGGGTACTAAGGTAGTACCATTAAATTGGGGTTTGGGTACTAAGGTAGGTACCACCATTAAATTGGACTTTGGGTACTAAGTTACTACCATTAAATTGGACTTTGGGTGCTAAGTACTACCATTAAATTGGACTATGGGTACTAAGTTACTACCATTAAATTGGACTTTGGGTATTAAAATACCAGCATTAAATTGGAAATAAATATATAAGAAACTGTTTCAGTTTGAAATAATAATAATGATACCGTTATCAACTTTAATGTGATAGCACATCTATGGCTATAAGGCGTGAAAAATGGAAAAGGTCTCTACTAATCTATCTGGACGCAGCTGAAGTTATATCAGCACTCAAGAAACGAGCTACGCTATTGCATTTTAGTGGCCCATGAGGTATTGCATTTTGGTGGCTCTGGGATACAAGAAATATTTTACAATTTACCGGGTGCCAATGTCGAATCATCAGAAACCGTTGATGTATTTAAAGTAGCCATAAAAAACTCGACGAGTATTTTCAACCTAAACGGAGCAAAGTTTATGAGCGGCATGTTTTTCGATTGCTAAAACAGGAAAAAGAAGAAAAATTTGACAAGTTTTTGATAAGATTGCGTCAACAGACCGAAAAGTGTGCATTCGAAAAGCAAGATGATCATCTCATAGATCAAATTGCGGAAAAGTGTAATTCGAAATCGCGCAAGAACCTTATATCTTACAAAACGTGGGAAGAGTTAAAAAAGCAATAAAGTATATGCTTTTAATCAAATGTAAAGACCCAGACAAGACATTATTAGCGTATGGTAGTAACTCTCCTTTGGCAATAGAGGGTTTATTTGAAACAATACTCGAAGTCGATGGACGAAAGAAACATACAACCATTTACGTGATTTCAGGGGGTACTAGAGACCTGTTGGGTAAGAACACAGCAGGCCGTCTGGGTGTCTTAAAATTTGGTATCGGGATAAATCAAGTGGAGAGTACCGATCCCCATTAAAGAGAAGGTTGCAATCAAAATTAAGGAATCACTAAACAGTGATATAATTGAAGAAGTGCAAGGCCCGTCTAAATGGGTTTCACCAATGTTCCAATCATGAAAGAAAATGGAGAATTATGTTTGTGCGTAGATATGAGATGTACGAACGCCGCTATATTGCGAGAAAACCACCCCCTGCCTACTAAGGACCATTTTTGCCTAAAATGAAGAAAGCTAAATATTTTAACAAATTAGACATCAAAAAATTCCTTCCATCAAGTGGAAATTCACTCTGAATCCAGACACATAACGACTTTTATAACCCCCAAAAGATTATATAGAAATAAAATAATATTGCTTGGAATTACCTGCGCTTCCGAGATTTTTCAGAAGATCATTGAAAGGATGCTGATAAACTGTGAAGGGGTCGTCAATTTTATTGATGATATCCTGGTATTCGGGAACAGTGAAGAAGAACATGACGCATGACTAAAGAAAGTTCTACAGGTACTTAGTAAAAACAACGCCGTGCTGAATAGCAATAAATGCATATATAAAACACAGGATGTGAATTTTCTGGGACACAGGCTTACACATGAAGGAGTAAACCCTTCAACAAGTACGTTGAGAGCATTATGAAATTTAGGGTCCCAAAGACCATAGAAGAACTCCAAAGTTTTTTAGGACTCTTAAACTACATAAACAAATGGATACCTAACTTGGCCGCCATGACAGAACTTCTGAAGCACCTGCTAAGACAGAAGATGAGCAAAAGGAAGAGCTTGGAAAAACAATGGTCTGGGGAACAAGATAAAGCATTCCAAAAACTCAAACGGATGCTCAAGTAAATACAGATTTTAGGGTATTATGACGTCAGAGATGCAAGACAGGTGATAGCAGATGCTAGCCCTGTCGGACTTAGTGCTGTCCTTGTACAAAATGATACAAATGGCCCTAGAATTATTGCCTATGGTAATCGAACTTTGACAGACTGCGAGCGCAGGTATAGCCAAACGGAAAAAGAGGCACTAGCATTAGTTGGGGGGGTCGAACATTTAATTTTTTTTTATTTGGAAAGCCTTTTGATTTAGTCACTGACCACAAGCCGCTAGAGATATTGTTCGGGTCTAAGTCAAAACCATGTGCGAGGATTGAACGATGGGTACTGAGGATACAGTCTTATTCATTCAAGGTTGTATACAAGCCAGGAAAAACAAATATAGCTGATCCCTTGTCACGATTATGTAACTATCCTGATAACCCACCAAAAGGTAAAGACCAGCATGTGCACCAAATAGTTGAAAATTCTAGACCAGTTGCTATTCCAATGAGTACCATTGTAGCATATTCAGAAAAAGATAGAACGACTGGGACGATTCGATTAAGAGTTACAAATTTTTTGAAAACGAGTTGTTTCCATGATAGCATTCTACTTCGTGGAAATAAAATTGTAATACCACAGCAACTCTGCAAGAGTGTATTAGATGCTGCATACGAGGGTCATCCAGGTATCGTAGCGATGAAGGGAAGCTTGAGATCAAAGGTATGGTGGCCCCGTATCGATAAAGACGTAGAACAATTAGTAAAGGCCTGTAAAGGTTGTACGTTAGTGGGTTTGCCAAAACCACCTGCACCAATGAAGAGACGAGAGTTGCCTGCAGCTCCATGGATAGATGTCACAATGAATCTAATGGGACCATTGCCAAGTAACGAGTATCTGTTAGTAGTGGTCGACTACTATAGTCGATACAAAGAAGTAAAAATTACAAAAACATCACAAGCTTACAGATTATTAAAATGGTAAAAGATATGTTATGTTATGTTATCCTATTTATATCACCGCAGACAATGGCAAGCAGTTCGTTAGTGAAGAGTATCGATCTTTCTTCAAAGAATGTAACATTAAGTTACTTAGTACTGTACCATATTGGCCTCAAATGATCGGCGAAGTTGAAAGACAAAACAGAGATATTTGAAACGTCTTCGTATCAGCCAGATCGAGAGGAAGGATTTAAAAGAATGTTTGTGGGAGTATCTTCTAATGTATAACAGCACCCCTCCTTACAGTTACCGGGAGGTTACCGTCTGAACTGTTTTTTCAACGAAAAAGTAGGGATAAAATTTCATCAATAGGTGAAATAAATTACAGACAATCATTTAGATTCAGATATCAGGGATAGAGACAAAATACAAAAAGAAAAAGGAAAAGAGTATGTAGATAGGAAACGCAAAGCAACTCACTCAGATATAATACAGGGAGATAAGGTTTACGTAAAAGCAGTGGAAAAATCGAATAATCTTACAACAAATTTTAAACCGACGCCACACGTCGTAGAGATTGCAGGAGACGGTGACTGCACAGTACGCAATAGTGAAACGAACCAAAGGTTTAGGATAAATGTGATACATTTGAAGAAAGTAGGAGGCGATTGGATGGCTATTCCACCCGATCAGAATGAAAAATAACAAAATCTAGAACAGGATAAAGAAGACGAAAATATGTAATAATTAATACAGACAATACAAACAGTGGTAGAGCCACGCGGCAGCTTTTGCTGTCGCACGGATGTGCCGGCTCGAACCGGGGTAGTACCACGACCTCACAGAAAACCAGCGTGAAGTAGAGGTTTACCTCTGCGTTTCGCTTGGTGAGTGCAGGTGGCCGGAGGCCCTTTTTACTGGAAACGAGGCATTCCATCTTAGTCCTCACGGGTGACAACGCATCTACATTTTGATTTGTAACAGAGGATAGATGTAGATGTCTATAGGCCGCAGCAACCACTTACCATCAGGTGGACTGTGTGCTCGTTTGTCACCCTTATCCTATAAAAAAAAGCTGCTTGTGATTGTTATGAGTTATAATTAAAAAAAAAGAAAAAATCTTAATAAGAAAGAGATGTAGTGTTTACATATATATATATAAGTCACTGTCTCGAGCACACCGTGTCAGTTACACGAGAGCCTCGGGCGAGAGTGGACGTGTTTAATTATGCGTGCCGAGCCTGTGTTACACTACAGTGGTTGAAGATGATAGCAGACAATACAGTTGTGTAAGAGGCTGTGCCTCAAAATGTAGTCAAAAATCACGCGAACTATCATTTCATATGCGAGTGATTTAGTTATTGCTGTAAATATAATGTAAAAACGTTTGTATCTTTTGCGACAGTAAGTAGATGGATGTAATTATTTACCCTAAACCTTTAATTCATATTATTTAATTACTTCTTATTATTCTTTGCGTATCTATAAAATTTTGGTGTTTGTAAATAGTGATGTTACATTGCTAAAAATAAATTCTTTCAAGGACATACTTTATTAAGGTTTTTCTTGATTTATTCTGTCGTATTATGTGAAAAAGTTTTGCGTTATGCATTGCATTATTTCGGTGTCATGGGTCTGAGCAGTGAGCATAAATGATTAACTAAATTATACAGAAACGAAGTTACATTCATGTTAGGTAGGACCTACGGTACCTACATAATAAAAGTGTAGCAAATTAACAAAGATTACATAAAGTAAAATCTAGCGCCTGTAAGTAATCTCTCTCTGTAGGCAAACATACAAATACCTCAGAGACTATGGACATTATTACTTGACTTTATTATATATTGTATATATTAGTCCATCCGTGACTTCTAATAATTCAATATACATAAATGTTAAGCATATTTTTATCTATAAATTACCTTAAGTCACCTTTTATAACAACCACGGTGTTGTTATAAAAGGTGACTTAAAATACCTAAATCATTATTTTCTGTTTTATCATTTTTAGGTTGCCAAAGAGATATATATATACATATATATATATATATATAAACAAGATAAGTACTTTATAAAATATTACGTTTGGCAGGCGGTTTAGCATCCGCAGATTTTTATTATTTTGTGTCTACTTCACTTGATCTTTCTTGATTTTGTTGCCAAAATCCAGAAATCACCCATGCATCCACAAGTGCATCGTAAAGTATATTAAATATTCATATCACAGCGATTCTAAAGTGGTTTTTACTTCAAAAGATATTAGCTTAACCGGCACACGAAACTGTTGCACAAGCCAGAATAGTAGAAAAAAATGGTGGGGGGTGCTACAAGTCAAAAAGAGAACTCCATCCTTATTAATCATCCTGGCTTTAGATAGTAACTTATTAGCCCAGAAGTAAAGCTTATTCTGTATAATATGAAGTCAGAGCAAGTACCTTACAACTTACAAGCACGAGTTGCTATCCATGCATTAAGTAACAAAATCGTCTTCAAACTATTATTTAAACGATAAAACTGGAGTAGCAATCATCTGGCAGTTAAATTCACGCGAAATTCCCCTAGCCTCCCTAGTCGTTGGAGAAAACATAATTTTGCATATTTAAAAATACATATATCTGTTACTAAAAAGTTGATTGACTTCACATCACTAAAAAATGGGCGGAGCTTACAGCGTCCGCCATTTATTGTTTCAATTTGACACGATTTTTTTGTAGGCTTGCCACCTCCTCTATTTTCTATGCTCAAAGACAATAATCTATGCTATGATCTGACTGCTGAGTTCGTAGATAGTGTCTATGGCTGAGTTACTCAGTTTGACAATAATTTATTGTTGCCAGTGCAAGCAAAAGCAGTAGTCCCTTAAATATTCTTTTCATGACTTTCTTGACAGACTATAAGTTTGACAAAGTTGGTGGTGGTTAAAGTCGAAGCCCGAGTGGTGAAAATATATAGAAATTGATACGAATTCGATATTGTAAAATAAATATCGATATTTTCTCATAAAATATCGTTATTTCGTTATATTGTAGGGATGGACAAGGGAAAAAATATATCGATATATGTTGAATTTAAACAGTATCGATATATATCGCGTGATAAATTTCGATATATTGGCATCATTTAATGATTTAAATATAAGGCCCAAAATTAACATTACTGAAGGTTGGACGATGAAAAATAAACGACAACCACTCATGAATGCTTTTGTATCTCCTTTTGTTCTTTCATGTTTTGCACATTAATACATTTTAAAATATATCTAAATTGATACGAATTCGACACCCCAAAATAAATATCGATATATCGCGATTAATACTACGACGATATGTATCGATATTTTTATAAGAACATATCGATATTTCGATATTTTTTGCCCAGGCCTAATATATTGATTATTGATAATTTTTAGTGTTTCTATATAGTTTGTGGTAGTATTTCTATATAGTTTGCACAGAGTACATTATATATAGGGGAATAGTTGTACATACAACTTTATAATTTGTGGGGAATAGTTTGTGTCACAGAGTACCTTTGTATAAACCGAAAGTTTGTGTTTGTGATCCAAGCCTAGGCAGAAACAGAATTCTATTTGTTTAAAGCTCCTTTTGTTGTTTCATGTTTTGCACATTAATATAACATTTTAAAATATATCGAAATTGATACGCATTCACCACTCCTAAATTAATATCGATATATCGCGGTTAAAAATACGACGA